CTTTGAATGTAAGTTTGTTATCAGGTTTTAGTACATTTCAACACTTTCAGTGGACTGGCCGTTAGCCTCCAGTGTAGAGATGGTAAACTCTCCAATATCTTTTAAATTTCTATCACTGTGAGTTTTGGTAGCATTAGGAACCATCTTCTTTAACCGTCCCTCTTTCCTGTTAAACAACTATCAAGTTTAAACACATTTCTTTGGCTATAACAGCAGTCACACATACATTGTGTCCCCGGCTTGTGAAGGCAAATGTGTCAAGTAAGAGACATTTTGTGCAGGAGTAATTCAGATATCAGCCAGTAGAGGGCGATGTGTTCTTTCTAGTGGAGCGGTCCTTGGTTTTCATACCAAGGACCCCATATAGCTTTAAACTCAGGCGGGGAACCCCTCTTGCATCATTATTACATTTCTTGGACATTACGATGAAAAAAAATATCAACCTGGAGAATTACCAGGAACACATTCCCTTCCTGTCTCTCTTCAGCTGTCCTGTCCACTAAATACAAAAAGACCCAAAAATAACTTTAGAAAAATACATTTTAAAATCTATTTGTCGCAAATAATCTTTTTAATTTTTGTTCCATCTCTTCCCTCAAAGTTTCCGCGACCCCCCTAGCACTCCCTGGCAACCCCCCAGGGGGTCTGGACCCCCACTTTGAAAAACATTGCTCTAACGTACTGGTCCCTGTATTCTGTCCTGAAATTCTTTTTTTTATACACTCTTCATCTGAACAAGGTTTATTCTAAGTCTTTACATGAATACTATAGACCTTCTGGTTTAAAGGTTTTCAAAGGTTTTCTAATAAAATGGTTGAAGGTTTCATTTGGAACAGAGTCTTTGCTTACTCTTCAGTGAACCTTGAGGTTTTGATCCTTTAATGACCTCTGATATATGTATTTACACAACCTTTCTGAAGATTTATCAAACATTCAATAAAGATTTTTTTTGGAAAAAGTCGCAACATAACCTTCAGAAAACTTTAGGGAATGATTTAAAGGTTATCTGAAGGTCGATTTGTTTTTTATTTTTTGACTACCTTTAGAGATCTTATAGGAGAATGTATCTTGAAGGTTCTCTGGAGTTCCATTGAAATCACATCATCCCTCTGAGACTACGAGGGGATCGTTCCACAGAAGCTGTTACGCCTCCCCCTACATTATGAGAATATTCCCTGTTTTATAGTGAGGCTGTAATAAATATCTTAATCTTAACCCTCAGAGTTTAATGCCTGCAGAGTCTTCTAGTCCTGTCTGTTTCCCAATTTCAACTACCTTCAATAAAATTCAGCCAGAGGGGAAGTTATCAGTTGGCTGCATGAACTGCCTCAGTATGTGAAGCTGAAGAGAAAAAAAGAGCACTGTGGTTGTCCTCAGCTAAATTAATGTTTCTATTAGTCCTTTAACAGGAAGCCTTCAATTAAATTAAATTATTACCTTTCTAAATGTCGGCCTAGGTTCCCTACTCTCTGTCTCCCTGATTTCTGACTCTAACCACTGTCCTATCTCTACAATAAATGCACAAAAAGCCCCAAAATAAATCTTTAAAAAAAAAAGAAAATCAGTGTCCTGTGTTTTATTAATGTAAAAAACAGAATAAACCCACATTAATGTTCCTATTTGTGGAACTTGATTAAAGGTGAAGTCAGTATCATTTTTTGATGCAGCTTGTAAACACAACATTTAAACTGGTTTAAATCATCCACCATGGCTGGGGAAACACACCATGCTCCCCACCCAGAAACATCCTGTCACTGACACATAGGTCGGACACAGTCCCCTCCACACATCTAAGTGATGATTGAGCAACATTACTTTTGTATATCTGAGCTGCTGACTCTGCCTTTAATATGTGGGCCTTTATTACGCAAACATACACATGCATCTCATATTGCACACATAAACACTTTTCTCTGATAAGAGGAAATTCAACTACAAAATAAAAAAACACACAAGAGTATCTAAAAGTGTCAGCCCTTTTAATTACATTTTGAAAAGCAGTTTGCTGTAATAAATATATAGGCTATACACACACTGTGATGCTCAGTTAGTTAAAGCAAACAGATGTGAAGACAATAACATAATGCAAACACAACTTTTATATTCTCTATTTTCATAATGTGGAGAGAAACAAGTAGGCTACATGTTGTGTCTCTCAAAGGGTTCACAAACAATGCTGAAAACAAAAACAGAAAGAAAACTTCACCATCTTCATGATGGATCCCATGTAAACAACTGTTGTGTAAACCTTTTTCTTATGATCACAGGTGGAGTATTATTTTCATTTTAAAGCCATTTTACAAAACGACAACATTTATTAGCACTATGAATACATTTTAAAAAGATGGACTTGGAGTGAGCAGGTGTAACAGATAAGACTTTGAACCTGCAGCAGGTGAACCACGAAGACTCAGGATGATGTAGATATTGTTACGGCAACACTGTCCCTGATAGGTTGTATGGCATGGCTGTCAAGCTAGTAAGGGGGGCGGGCCTTCCTGCCTGGTCGTACGGCCAATGGCTGGGAAGCCCCTGTCTTGATTAGCTGAGGCGGGCAGGTGTGCGGGACAAATGTTTGAGAATGTGAGAAGCTTCGTGGGAGTTGTACAAGAGACTGTCGGTGCCTTCCCGTGTTCTTTGTAATGAAGTCTTTGAGTTATTGTCACGTGTTTTGTTAAATAATGGACTGTCCTCCGACGGAGGAAAGCGTTGGTTTGAACCGAGCAGAGTGAGCTGGTCCAGAGAGTGACGCATCGTCGCGCTGAGAGAAGACTGCAGCAGGTAAGGTACAAAGGTAAAATCCCAGGGTTGTGTTTGACAATATAAACCGAGAAACACATACCAGCAGCAGAATCATAAGCTGAGTGAAGGTCAGAACTGCTCTCTGAAACAGAAACAAAGCTCATAGGGGCACAGATGGCCTAGTGGTTAGGTTGCACCCCATGTTCAGAGGTTAAAGTAGGTGACCAAGGTTCAAGTCCGACTTGTGGCTCCTTTCCCGCATGTCATTCCCCACTCTCTATCCACTGTCCCATCAAACCCAAAAATAAATCTTGTGAAAACATAGAAACAAAGCTCATTATTCTAAACACAGAACTGAATTTTTGATCAGACTCTGGAATTACTTTTAGAGAATACAAATTATACTGACTATTTCATATCCTCTTTTATATATGTATGAAGTGCACTTACCTTCTCAAATCTTAACTAGAGCTAAAAATTAGCTTTAATCACTACCTGCTGATTACTGTTAAATGCAGACCCTGTTCCCGTCATACCGTCACCACGGACATGACTAGGTGCACAACACATTGCAGAGAGATTGAGCTGAATGTAGAAACATAGAATTGAAAAAGAATGTAAAAGGTAAGCTGTGTTTATATGGAGTCCTTCAAACTCTGCATTTCTCGTGTTTCTCCAGAAAATGAAGCAGAGACATGCAACATAAATAGATCAATTTTAGAGTGTTAGAGCATGTGACATCATACTTCATCTGTGACTTACTGCTAAATACATGACTTGGAAAAAAATCACAAAATGTATGTTTCATTGTCACAGCATGAAACTCATCACCTATGTATGGAAGCCCATTTCCGGCAGTTAAAAAAATAAGAATGAAAACTCGGCTTTGTTGAGATTTTTTTTTTTGCCCATTGAGATAATACAGTTATAATAATGATATAAAAGTCGAAATTATGACTTTATTATCTCATAATGGGCAAGAAAATATCTCAACAAAGCCAAGTTTTTATTTTTTTAACTGGCGGATATGGAGCTCAGCGTAAGACAGGAAGACTGGTTATATTATTTCACAAATTCATTCATCCTTTCACTTCAACCTAAACTACTTCCTCTGTCTACCTGCTCTAGTGATCAGCTCATAATGGGCGTTTATTCTTTAAGTAATTAACCAACCAGATTCGGGCACAACCTCTCTCAACCAATCATCCCGCCGCGGCAAAATGCTTAAACAGTTCTCTCTCTCCCACAGTCATTCTGTCATTTCAGGGCAACCGCTGCAACCCACCACCGCCCCAGTCACCTCCATTCCAGCTCAGCAGAGTCCAGATTCAGGCTCATCATAGCCTCCATTCCTCTTCACCACCACCAGTGTCTAGACTCCATAGGGGGGGGTATCCTATCCTGCTGTCGGCCTCATTACCCCTCAGAGTACATGAAGTGGTCACGATGGAGTCCAATCCCCCAAAGACTTTGCACATTCAAATCTACATTGTTACACATTTATTGTAAATAAATAATTGTTCATTCTCAATTAAGTCTCTCCTGATTGAAGTGGGCTTCCATACGTATGACATGGTAACATGTATTGTTATAACACAAAACAGAACATTATAGTGTCAAAAGTTTGATGTTATAAAGGACAGTGATGCGGAGTGCAGGAGCCTCATCCTGAAAGAGTTCCACGGCCAGAATTAAACAAATAGTGCTTTGCAATCTCCAGTTAGAGCTGTGTCCATAGAAACTGTAAACCCTGTAGCCTTGATAACATGAGCTAACCAGCAGTCAGTACTCATTAAACTGAGCATTTCCACTGATGGTGAAGTGAGACAAGGTGAACACAGCACCTGGTTATGCTGTGTACCCTGTCATGACTGATTCTTTTTTTTTTCACCAGTCATAGTCAGTACCATGTTCTGTTCTGTGTTTACTTCATGTGCCATCTTCAGAGTCTTATAGTGCTTTCACTCTTTCTGCATATTTATATGCATTTTTTTAAGTCAACCAAAATGTTTAACAAAAGTTAAATTTCTTTCAATATATCAAAATGTATTTCTTTAAGTCTTTGTTTTCACATGTATCTTAATTCACCTCTTCTCTTATTTATTCTACTTAATATTTCCACATTCTTTATTATCTTTTTAAAGATTAATTAATTTCAGGGCACACCATGGAAATCAAAAATAATGAGGTTGTGTTTACTAATGAGACTATTGAAAAGGGAAAATGATCTTAACAAAACAAATTGCTTGGAAACCAGCTCTTACAACAGTGTTTTTATTTAATTGCAAAATAGACACAATTTGAACGATTCAAATAGGTTCCCCAAAGCTTCAGCTGTGTTGAATATTGCACATCCACAGGAAACAGAAGACTGTTGCGTCATGCATAGGTCAAATCCCCACTGGCCTGTAAAATACCATGTCTTACAATGTTTACGACTTTTCAGCCAATATATAAAGTTAGAATTTATTTTACATCTCGTCTTATTGCCGACCAAAACACTCTGAAAACAAGGGTCCAAAAGTTGTATTACCAATAAGGATTTTTAAAAACATGTCCTTTGTCGCCAGAGAAAGGCTCATCTCTAATATAATCTTACATAATCATCTCCTTAGCCTTTGACTTGATCAGAACAGCATGTAAACAACCCTAAACATGAAACACACAGTGTATGTGATTAAGCATTGTTTTCACTAAATGAAGATGGAAAAGAAATCATGATTTTAAATAAAACATTGTTTTCTCATTTGTAATCATTGAGTTCTGACATACAGTAAACTTACTCTGTTAAGGCAAGTGGTGACCAACACCTTATGGAAACTTTGCAAATAAATGAAAGAACTGCTGATGTCTTGAAACATTTTACAAAAAAATGAAAGGAGAACATGAGTGTTGAGACAAATCTATCAGAAATATCATTCTTGAATAGTTTCTCAGTTGAAATGGTTTGTAAGTTTTCCACTGGCCACACATCTCAGCCAGTTTGTGAAATTATTGTGTTCACTTAACATAAATTTAATTCCCCAAGCACACACTTGTTTCACAAACCATGTGGTTCAAATTCTTTCTGAGCTGACACAGAAGCAGTATGTATTCCACACTAACAGACGGGTCAGGTTTCAAACAAGAATCAGTGGATTTGACTTCTATTGGTTCTATTCATTAACCTCATCAAACAGTGCCTATTTTTGTTAGCAAAAACAATGAATAAGTGCACTTTTGAAATGTTCCATTGATAAGAAACATACCTGCATGTATTGTGACTACTATCTTAACTTTATCAGGTGAAACATGCTGAGATCAAACGGCAGGAATACTAGAATATATACGTCATTCACAAATTATGATTGTGAGAACCTAACAAACAATGCAATCAAAGGAGAGGGAGGTTATTACACTGTTAAATGCATTAGTCATTCTGAGTGCTTTATAAATACATATAATATTGGTAATCCTTCATTTGAACAAGGAGAGGTACTGATTGGTATGCCCTTTACAGAAGGCAAGCCTCTGGTGAGTAAACTAGTGGATATATTGTAACGTGCTGCTGGGTCAGTTAAAGCATCTACTCAGGACGTCTAATCCACTTCTAAAGCTAACGGGCAACACGTCTGACATTTGCTTTTGTTTAGTCTTCCTGGCTCTCTTTGGCTGATTCAAGATGGCCCTTGTTGTCCTGTCGGGAGTTCTGCTCAACAAACATGTTCAGATTTGACCTGGGATAGGAGAATAGGAGCCATGATTGTAGCTCTTTCCTCCTTAAACTACAGTCTGGAGATATTCTTATTAATGTTAACAGACAGACCACACGAGGTGTAATATTGGCAGCAGTCAGCACCACTGACTCTAACATTTTTTTAAATTAAGCTTTATCGTTTGGCCTTTAGTTTGCATGCAAATTGTATTTTAGGTTCCTGATAACTATGTCTATGGTTGTCATGGACACAGAGGAAGTTGAAGAGCCAGTGTAGTCATTGACATGCCCGTTATCACTTTGTGTAGCATGCGTGCTCCTGCAGCAACAACAGAAGCAGACAACCCTTCCTGTTTGTTCATCAGTCAAATAACTGTAATTAATAATAATGACAGACATTATTTGATGTTTTTAAACATACTGACAATGTGAGAAAAGCTCACTAAACATACTCACAGGTACTCCTCTACAGGCTCTGCATGTATGTTTGAGCATTTTAAATAACTTTGGGGTCTTGTGTGGACAGATATATTATGCTATCAGCTTTAAAACGTACCTTTGTGCATGTCAACAGGGCCTAAAAATATACATTGTGTCCCTTTTCATTGTGTTTAAAATAAAAATATTAAAGGAAAGGTTGACAATTCTTAAAGTCTGTTTTAAAATAAATTTCAGGGAATCATATAAACATTGACACAGGTTTAGCTTTCCCTAATAATTCATTCTGTTCCTATAGACATTAAGAGGTCTCTTTCTTACAACATTAAATAATGTTGCTGTGTCGGGCTGCAAACCACTCTCATGTAACTAGTTAGTCATTTATTTTATCATAATGCAAGTGCTGCAGAGCATAACTCTTACAGTAAGAATAAAGACCACAGTGTCACTGCTAAATGTTAACACGTTTTCCATAAATAAAAACTGAGGTGCATACCTGTTACACCTGCTCTGTGTAACTTATGTTTTAAGTTATGGTGTAAAGTCCACACTTTGAAATTAGTTAGTTTGTAACCTAAGTTGTGTCATTGTTTGTTTGCATCACAGAGATGTAAGGTTCATCTTAACTAGTAGAGAGTAACCTCCAAACAAACCAAAAACAGAAATGATGTACTACCTGCATGATGAGACCAATCAGTAAAAGTATTTTTCTCAATGCAGCGTTTGTTACAGAGCTGCCTCTCTGACCTTATTGTCTCTGAACAGACTAACAGCTGAAAACAACTTATACAACAACCATCCATGAACATGTAAAATATGACAAAGCATTACAACTAAAGCCTGGAGCCTTGGTGTGAAATAACAATAAAATGATGTAATGTAGTGTCCTGTAGTGTCTGTTACACAGACGTAAAGCCAATGTGCAGGAACAAGAGGGTCGGGCTGTGAGCTTTACTTTCATTCATTATTATCAGACTTCTTAATATTCACAACTTTAGAACAGCCTGAGGAGAACAAGGCATCTGAATCAGAATCTCTTCAAAATAAAATCACCTTTTTATTCTTTTGAATCAGGAAATACTCTTTAATGCTGCTACACATTATTCTGAGTTATTCAGTTCTTTTACACTTTATCCTTTTTCTTTCATATATTTATATGCTTTTAAAAACTATTTGTATTTGTCCTGCTTTTGTCTCAAAAGCTAAAAATGTGTTTCAGTAATAAATGTAATCACCTCTCCGACCATCCTCTCTACCCCGAGTCTACAAAACACACTGAACATCAAATCCCCCTCTCCCCATAACTCCACGTGTTAGCACAGACACAACATACTACATCACTCCAACAGAATATGCTCCTTAAATAACCTTTTAATCAAAGTTTAATGCTCACTTATAAATAATTCTGTGCTTTTTTTTGTTTTGAACCTCTGGTAATTTAAGTAGCAAAATATAATGTTACATCTCTCTCTCCCTTTACTTGTCATTGTCAATGCAACAGGCAGATGTGTAATGTCTGCTTCAATAAATAAATAATAATAAAAAAAAACATGAAAAACTTTTACGTTTGCCTTACATATTGTCAGAGAAATAAATACAGGAATTCAAGGAAGAAAAGACGATGTAGAAAAAAAGCAAAATCAGACAAAAACCTTAAACTTCATATGGATTTGATAGATCCTGCAGTGTGGAGACAGGGTAGGGCTGCTGTAGTCTAAACACCTAATGTCCTCGTCAGTGAAGCAAAGAAACCTGCATTCAAGCTGCAACCTTCAGTTTCCTGTTTGAAAGTCCACACTGCTGATGTGGACACATCCCGGAAATTAATTTAGTTTTACTACATTTTCCTATTTGGACAAATTAAAGTCAACAAAATATACAAACGGATCATGTTTCAAGACCTGAAACATCCAAACACTTTGTGGTTTACATTCAGGAACATTCATATTGAGTGAAAAAAGAAGCAATAACAAAACAAAAGACAAACAAGGAATCAAACATATTCACAAGTAACTAATCATGTTGAATGAAAAATGAAACAATAACCAAAGAAAAGACAAAAAGAAGAAATCAAACATATTCATAATAATTATTCATGAAGACTATTCACCGCCATACAGTTACCATATGTTACAACTTATTACTAGTTCTCTAGCAGTCCAGAGTCCTGATGAGAGGGTGATGAGTTATTATAGTTTCTCCTTTGAGGGGATCCAGATATAGGGTCCTGAATGTTCCTCTATGACCTGTTTGCAGAAGTTATAAATGTCCTCTAAGGTGTCTCCTTGAACCAGGGCTGCAAAGCAAAAGGGAACTCTTTATGTCATGAGAAACAGCACATACATGTTACTGTTCATTCATACAGTAATTATCAAATCCAGTTTGAGGGGTTTTGACTGAAAAGAAAAAGACCCAGTTGATCTGCTCCTCCAGTTTTGACAGTTTTGCAGATTTACTGAAACTTCCACCAAAGATGTTTTCACAATAAATACACTTCTGAAAATGTCAGTGTGTACAATTCATTTCCTGTTTTATCTTGTATTTATCCCTCTTTGCTTTAATCCCAGTGTAAATATCTTGTGCTTACTGTTTAATTTCCTCATTTGTATCCCTGTGTTTCTCCTTTCTCTGTGTGTGCATTTCCCTACTTTATTGTGTTTCCTGTTTTATTTTGTCATTACTTATCCTTGTGTTGAGTTCTCTGTGTGTCTTTAGTCTTTCCTGTTTTATTTTCTCTTGTCACCAGCCAGGTCTTACTTCCTCCCTTGTTTGGTTTCTCTCCAGTTTTGATTGCCCTGATTGTCTATACCTGTGTGGTTAGTCTCACCTGTGTCTACTCAGTGTTTCTTCCTTCTTGTTGTCAGTTCATTTGTCTATAACCAGTGGTCATACATAAAACTAGCCTGTGTTTCTTGGTGGATTTTTTGTGTTACCTTCCTGTGTGGATTCCTCTGAATACCCTGTCTTCACATATGCGTTTGTCTTGCTGACATTTTAAGTTGGACATTTTTTTGGACTTCAAAGTTGGAGAAAGTCAACTTTAGTTTTTTTCCTTTTGGTCTTTTTGTTTAATCAAATATTTCAGTTTAGATCTGAAATTGGGTCCCACTTCCTGTTTTTTCACTTCTCAACACTTTGAATGTCTAGCTCTGATCAAATACGTTAACATAAAAAAAGAATAACTTGTCAACACTTTATTATTGTTTTCATCATCATACCTGTGAAGTATTCAGCAAACTCCTGCTCCAGCTTCATCGCCCTGTCAAATGTCTTCTTGGCTTGTTCCTCTGTCAGTCTCTTATTCATGTCCCTGAAAACATTCAAACACAACTCGTGTCAGCTGTGGACAAAACTCCAAATGAAACTTAACTTAAAGCCCCCCCATCTAACATTCATGACTAGTATACCATTATGAATAATGATTTAATGACTGTAGCACCTAATCCTAAATATAAAGTATCAATGATGTTAGAAGCAGGTATAAGGACATTTAAGTGTTAAATATGTGCTCATGATGGATAGGCCGGGTCTTTGTAACATAACAATGAGTAAGGTCTTTTACCTGCTTTTTGTAACATAACAATGAGTAAGGTCTTTTACCTGCTTTTTGTAACATAACAATAAGTAAGGTCTTTTTACCTGCTTTTTGTAACATAACAATAAGTAAGGTCTTTTACCTGCTTTTTGTAACATAACAATGAGTAAGGTCTTTTACCTGCTTTTTGTAACATAACAATGAGTAAGGTCTTTTACCTGCTTTTTGTAACATAACAATGAGTAAGGTCTTTTACCTGCTTTTTGTAACATAACAAAGAGTAAGGTCTTTTTACCTGCTCTTTTGTAATGTTAACAGACAAAGAGTAAGGTATTTTACCTGCTTTTTGTAACATAACAATGAGTAAGGTCTTTTACCTGCTTTTTGTAACATAACAAAGAGTAAGGTATTTTACCTGCTTTTTGTAAAGTGTCTTGAGATAACACTTGTTATGAGTTGACGCTATACAAAATAAATTGAATTGAAAATAAATTGAATCTATTTGCAAAAATTCAAAGTCCGCGGAAACGCAGCTTCTCCTACGTCCTCCTATTAGCTGTAGCATTAGCCACGTGTAACGCTCGGTTCGGTATAATATGACCTCTTTAATGAAGAGCTTTTAGAAAAAAGATTACGCACATGTTTTAATATATTATCATTTATTGTCTGTTGCTACAGCAGCCCCACATAATGAATGATGAAGAGGGGTTAGTATTATTTGGTTCTTGTTAAGATTTGCTTACAGATACTTTTCTTTTGTTATAAACTGTTTAGTATACTTTAATGTAAAAGTGATTAATAAGGGGATGTTAAGTGAAGTTTGACCATCTGATAAGTCCAGCTCTAATATAATAAAGAGTAAATGTAAAAACCATGCACGCTAGTAGAAGATTGTTCCAAAGATAAAACACATGATAGTTTGTAATGAAAAACAGGAAGAATACTTACATTAATGAATCAATAGATTTAGGTTTAATGAAGATGGCGATGGGATAAAGTTGTGCTACTTGTAGTCGTTTGATGGCGTTTCCAGACACATCCAGGATGCAGTGCTTACCCTGAATTTAAAAATAGAGATATTAGATATTTCACTCCCTTTGGTATAGAAACCACATCCCCACAAACTGCAAAACTTCAAGGCTCCTAAGCTTTGTGCAGACACAAAGTCACACACATTTTGCCTCTGAGTTTCTCCCTGGATTTTCTAATTTATTTATTTTTTTATCTACATATTTTTCAAATCCACAGTCAGTGAACATCCTGTCCTTTCCGATATGTCAGACTGAGCTGGGTACAAGGATGGACTCTTAGGACACAATACAATCTCTGTGGCTGGATCAATCAGCACCAAAAATAAACTGATTTTAAAGTTATTTAATTTTTTTCATATTCCATAAAAAAACTGTATTTCTGCTTTAACACCACAAGACAGAAATATAACTTTTAAAGGGTCATTTCTGATGAAGTGTATTGATCACTTCAAATGAAACCTCAGGATGTCAGGAGAATCACAGTTCTGAGAGGTTTTAAACTACAGCACACTTATATCTCTCCTGAGTTAAAAAAAAAGAACATTGTATGGATTTTTTCCAGAGGTAGGAATTCACATTTTGCATTAAATTTGTAAAAGAAGCCTAAGAAATAAAAACAGCTTTGCGTCTGAAATGTATATTTGACACCTCATGGTGTAGTTAACATTCAGGTTTCATACACAAGGTCTCACCCTCTCTGCCACATATTTCACAGACTGGACACTGGTTCCATACAGATTATCGTTGTACTGTCCCGCCTCGATGAACTTGTGCTCTTGAATGTCCCGCTCCATCTGCTCTCTGGAGTTCACAAAGTGGTAGTCTCGTGTGTCCACTTCGTAGTCCCTCTTCGGCCGAGTCGTATCTTCAGAGCAAAGAGAACAGTTATGAGCTCAAGGAAATAAGACGACAGGACTACACCAGGAGACATTTCCTACATGTGGAGGGGTGAATGAACACAGCATATAAACAGTCTATATTACAGTCTAAAAGGTCATAACCACAAACACAGGACAGGTGGGATATCTTAGAGACTCACTTTCAAACTGATGCTGGTATTTACACTGTTAACTAAAATGTCTCAGGTTGCTCTGACACCCGGAGCTCATCTGCTTTATTCTGATTCAGATGATAAGATAAGGGGTCTTTTTGTGTTCACACTGCAGTGTTGTAAAGCGGGCCAAAGCACAGAACCAATGCAGGACTGTCTTTATGCCCTTTTTTTAAACTACATACATAGGTACTGGCTGCACTTTGTATTGTGTGATGGCTCCAAGACGCCAACATTAGCCCGTTAACCTACCAACAAAATAAGTCACAGGTTGACTTTGAGCAGTGAGGAGGTCAACCAATGACTCATTCATATTTATAAATATGTAAAGGTAAAAGACCAGCTTGGCAAACGTGGAGGTTCTAGTGATGAGAATGACAGATTCCCCTTCCAACAGCTGGACTAATTCTCTAAACTAAACCAGCTGTTTATATTATGGAGTCATGTGATGTTTCTAATGTGAGGCTAGCATTAGCTCTTCTGCAGATGTTGAATTAGATAGAGACGGTAAGTAACATTAATCTTATTTTTATGATGATTATCAGATGTAATCAGTATTACCTTGTACTGTAGTTTCAATACTTCATCTTATTCTAACCTACAACTACTGCAACTACTTCTACTATAACTACTGTTAACAACTACTACTACTGAGTCAACACATTATTAATTCAGGGTGGATTTTAAGGTTCTCTCTGCAAACAAACTGCTTCAGGGTTCAGTTGGAAACAAGCCAACACCATCTCTTGTAGGGGAGCTCAGCTGGTTTTGTCCTGCGTCAGGGTGCTGTGTTCAGTTGGGTCTAAAATTCACATCTCTGGCTGTGATCCTAATATATATTTTCTCTGCATTGTTTCCCTGTTTCCCTTTCGTCTCTTCCCCCTGTCTTTGGAGGACGGGGCTTCTGCCATTAGGCTAAATCACACAACTGACACTAACCTCCTCATCTGCCTCAGTGTAAGAACCCAGGCTTCACCTCTACTCATTGTCAGATTACTCCCTCTTCTCCAGTGGTGGCTTCTATGAGTTACGCTGTACTAGTCTAGTCAGAGTTTGTTCCTAGTGCTTTTCAGTGTCTCTCAATGTGTTTTTTCCTCGCTTCCAGATTTCCATCAGTGTCAGCTTCTTGTGTCTTTGCTCCACCTACAAACAATTAGATTCTCCTTCTTCCTGCATCTCCCTCTATCCCACTTTCTAAGACCAACACAGTTTCTGCAGATAGCTGTTCGTCATCAGTCTGGTCATGATCTCTGACTCTCCACTTTGACTTGGTGCTCATGCTGGATTCATGTTGGGTCTTTGTAGATAACATACAGTAAAAGATTAATGTCTTTACCTGCTGTTTGTAAAGTAATAACACTACTAATAATAACACTAATTAAACATGTTTCTCACTTTGTGTAGCATCTGCATTTATTTATTAAGAAATGCATTCTGCAGCTGAAATAAATCCTGACCACTAGTAACCAGATTTTGGTCCATTGTTTACGCCACACACTGTTCTGAGTCCTCTGAATAACTGATTTTAAAGATATCCACACACTTTAAAGTGCTTCTCATGAAATTTGCATCAGAGTAAATAGAGGAACAGATAATATAATGTAAAAAGATTTATCAGACACACCCTGCTTTCTTCAGAATGAGATAAAACATGGAGGAGAGGAGGGATTGTTTTATAAACTACAACAAATGTATCTTCTGTTTTGGCAAATTAAGAATTCCTTTTTGCACATTATTGGTTGTGCTGGAAAATCTGTGAACAAATTTCACTGGATATCTTTAAAGAAAAGAAGACTCATTATTGCTCCTAAAAGGAACAAGTTGTACAATCATCTGGTTTAAACATATATAAATGTTCACACTCGTGTCCATAACACAACACAATCTCACTTTCTACAAAAAGAATCAACTCAGCTTTTCCGCTCACTTACCGTCTCGCCCTGAACTGTTGGCTGCTTCATATGGTTAAAAAAAGTACATTGAAATAAAAGAGATGGATAAATTAAAACATGCAAAAAAAACTGCTTTTGTTGATGATGAAGACATTGCACAGTGCACAGATGAGTCCTGTTAGCAGGGTCAAAATGATGTTACAGGTACAAGCAGGCGTAGCACTTAAACTTAGAATTAAAACCACAACAATAGCTTCTGATTCTCCATCCCGTTTCTGAAAACTTTACTATTAAAACATCAGTCTTAAAGCAAGCTTCTCTTGAAAAAACAGAGAAAATGAGAGCCAACAAGGAGCTGATAATGGTGTGTGATGAAACTGACTTCACTGTTTATCATGATCACAGACTGTATAAAAACATGGACAACAGGACAGCTCCCCAAAAGTGAAACCAAAACATTTGGAGCAACACGTACTGACAGGCTGCAGTATAGGTCATGAACTCTGCCTCCTCCATGTTACCAGATGGAACATGAATCAAACTATAAAATACAAATACACGTCATACAATTTTTTTTTCTGGAATATGTTTTGTCATTGTGTGTCAAATGAGTTCTTATCATGCTGATTTATGAAGTGGTCATTTTCCCAAGAAGTTTCATTAGTGATTTGAAGCTATAAATAGGAGAATAACGCCATGAGTTACATCTCTTAATGAACACCAACACTAGAGTCATTGATAACTGAGAGTGTCTGCTTTAATCCAGAGCCTGTTCTGCTGTGGACTGTACCCCCCTGAGGGATCTCTGTGCTTATATCGCTGTGTTAAATGTGTGTTTAGTGGAAGAAAGCGGGGATGACAATACTGCAGCTCTACCAGCAGATCTCTACTGCACAGACTCTGGTTCCATGTGACAGATATATCACACACAGTGCATCTTTATATACAGTCAAAGGTCATGATCATGGTCACCAGGACATATGTAGCAGGTAAATGAATATAAACAGAGGGGCTTTACTGAATGCTCAGAGTCATCGTGTCATACTAATTAAATTATGATATAGCATGAATTCATTCTGCTCTGTTTTCATGAACTACTTACGTGGCACACAGGAGCCAAACTTGTCAGGGAACTCAGAAATCAGATCATCATTGATCCTGTCCTTCATCGGTCCGAGGATGATGACGGGCCGGGCGTAATCAACTGGAAGGAAAAACACAACTCAGTGTGTTGTGTGACGGGAAGCTGTGGGAAGTTTGTGAGTCTCATAAGCGTTTTAATAAGAGTAGACTTTCTCGCTCCCTCCCTTCTATCAACATAAACAGAAGATTAATGTCATTAAAGAAGGAGGGGGCTTTCTTAACTTGAAAAAAAAGAAGCGGTCCCTGAATCGTTTCTGTTTCAGAGAGAAATCTCAGCAAAATGATGTGGGTTCATCCAAAAATAGAATCCTGGCGCTGCACCAGTTATATACTCTTATTAAAGGGTAAAGGTTTGTGGCAGCCTGGGTTTAATATATTGGATTTATTCTTGGGAATATCATGAGCAGAGATGAACAGCCACACAAACATGGTAACATGGTCTTTCAGCAGTTTGAAACTCACAAAATGAGATTTAAAGCATCTTGTACAAGTTTCCCTTTTATGTTATTTTGGTCAATCTGAACTTGATTTCTAGGCTGTGACAGAAGAGCTTCAAGAAGGCAGAGGTTATATAGAGAAAGGAAGGTAATTGTTCGATGCACAGGTGAATTATTTTAACTGTGCCACCACAAAAGAAATACACAACGGGCCTCATTTACCAATATCTTTCAATGGTTTTTTAAAATAAATTTGGTCTTAAGAAGATCCAAAGAAAATTGTGGTTCATGGTTCAGTCAGGTTGAAGAAAACTGTGACCACAGTGCTTTGGTTTGGTTGTAAGTTTAGAATTTAACATTTTTAGTTTAGACTTATCACTTCATAATTAAGATAAGTTTATTACATTTAAACCACATATATGATAATGTAGGTTAATGATATAAATGTCTAAAATTGAGGAAAACACAATAACATTAGTTTACCAGAGTAAAATTGTGTGTTTAAGCAGGCCAATAAAGCTGATTCTGATAACTAATGATTTATAGACTACACATGAGCTCATGACTATTCCTAGATTTTCTTCTACACAAAGAGCAGATCGTGGATGAGAAAATTTGAAGTGAATCTTTCATGAAAACTGAGTAAGTGGGTTCCTGGTTCTTTCATATCAACACACCCACTCACACTCTCAGGTATTCTTTTTCCATTCACCTCACTGCACCACCCGCCCGCCTGTCCACCATGGGGGTCCAGAGCCTTCAGCCGCTCTGCCCCCCACCTCTGGAACTCTGTACCATTATTAATCCGTAATAATGACTCCCTCTCATTTTTTAAAATCTCATCTCAAAACATATCTTTTTAAACTGGCATGTTCTGTTTGACCATTTTCCATCCTGTCTCATAAATCCTCCACACAAAGATTTCATACTCTGTAAATTTCTCTTTTTAATGTTAAATGTATCGATGTATTGTTACTTTGTTGTTTTAATCTCTTTGTAAGGTGACCTTGAGAGTTTTGGAAAGTTTGTGTCAATGTTAATGATGTTAATTAAATGTATGTAGATTGTATTTGTATCATTATTTTACAAACTGCTGTCACACTGATTTTAAAACATCTGCCTTGAGGAAATGATGACAGATTGTACAGAGAAATGAAACTAACTTTAGTTTTGTTTTAAATTCCCAAATAAGACTGATGAGTTAAATGTTGTAGTAAAGATTATGGCTTGATAAACTGTGATCCACATATACTAGGTAAGCTTCTTTGACACACTCACTGGGTGGTTAAAACTTACTTTCTTGCCTCATCACAGGTTCATATGAGATGATGACATCATCTTGACTTCCTGGGGGGGCAAACAGTGAAAAATGTTATTTGGACTAATAAATCAGATGTTTCAGAGTTAATATCTCTGCCCATGCTGACGTCAAAATGCATAAAAACAGCTCATGCTGAATAAATTCATCATTACAGTAAACTATCGCATTTCAAATCAACCAAATGTCCTCTGCTTTAAAAAGGTTTTGGTATTCTAACGTGTTAATTATCTCCCATATCTCTGCATACATTTACATACTCAGGAAATTGGTACAGTATGACCCAAATGTCAGGATGCCTGGTGCAAAAGAGGTCCGAGTGACTGTGTTGGCCTTATCAGGAGCATTACCCAGGAGGGCTGATGACTTCTGACTGGAGAAATGTTCTTAAACATTCAACAACTTTTTCTATTTATTCAGCATTTAAACCCAAAATATTCAAAAATAGGACTCAGGTGTGGGAAAAAAAACAGGAAGTCCTCTTTTGCAGGTGCTGTATATGTGCCTGTATATGTAATGTATCTAAACTTCACTCCAACAGTGAACAAACCATTTCAACTTAATACACTTAATACTTCATTTATAAAACATAATTCTACTTTAACCTGGCATGCTCACAAACAAAGACAGGAAACACATTAGTTCTTCATGCCCATGCAAACATGCATTAAAGCAAACAAGAGAACTGTCAAAAGAAAAGTGCAGGACGGGGTTCATTAAAACTTTATAAAGTCTGTTAAGCAGCCAGTAAACATGAGGGACGCTCCATTCCAGCAGAATTACTCATCACACATGGAACCAGGGTTATAGTCTGCAGGTGGCATGTAGGGCCTCGGCTTCTTAAAATACATTGACAATAATGTCTGTGACACTCTAACATCCTTACAAAATGAATAATGAATCCTAAATTTAGACCATGTTTCACTAATGACTGGTGACATCCAAAGATTATTATTTAAATATTGTTAACACACTGCAAACTGAGAAGCAGACAAATCCATGAAATGCAGCATGCAGTCAGTCGTTTGGAGCTTGTTGTTGTCAAGGGAGTTGGGGGAGGGGGTAAACAGAGATTAGGAATCAATCCTGGACTAACTTACTGAAAGTCTTTGTCCCATACCCATCATCACCTATCCCCAGGATGTCCTGTGGGTCGTCCACAGAGAGCCAGAACAGAAGAGAGAGAGAGGAAGAACGACAGCCCCAACATGAGACAAAGGAAAGAGCTGTGGAGCCACAGATCAAGCTCTGTGCAGCTACCATCAGCCAGCAGGGGGAGCCAAATACAGCATGATAACCAGCAGGCTGCTGAGATTGAACCTGAATGATCCCTGAAGGAGAACTGGGTCAACATTATCACCATATGGGGACATATCAGAAGAGATACAGCGTGGACTTGGCTTCTCCTGCTGACTAATCAGCACCTAAGCCACAGTGTCTCTGATCCAACAGAAAGAGAAAAGAAGACGACTCTGCTCCGTCCACCTGTCCAGAGACCTACATGTGACATACATGTGACCTACACTGACTGTACTAGGTGTGTCTGTGAGGTTACTTACTGTCTGAGTCACTGCCATCCTGCTCACCCTCTTTGTTCTTGTAGAATGGGAACTTTCGTGTAAAGATGAAATTCTTTCTACGTTTGTCATTGAATGACTGTGAAGGGAGAAAGAGCATGGGAGCAAACAGGCAGATCACGGTCATGCACACAACACTACACAAAGTGAGACATCAAGAATTTTTTACAGTGAAAATGGGTTATCTTTTCCTCCCACACTACAAAAGTAGTTTTCACTAAACTATAATACACAGAAGAGATTGTTGGGCCAGGTGTAAGTACAACATGTATATATATATATATATATACTATGACTAAAATTTTAAATATTTAGCTTTTGACTGCAGAAATGTGAAAATGTAAAATGTAACATATTTAGTATTCATTTAAATGAAGGCTCAGAACATTTCTCTGCAGATTAAAAATAAATCAAGATATATAAATTCTGCAACCCAATATCGGGTTATTTTCTTTTTTCTGATGACCAAAAACTGCAGACAAACTCATGCACACTTTCTAAATTTCTCAAATACACACATAATATGTACGGTATTTTATTATTTTTAAATGTGTGGTCTCAAAAGTATTTTAGGAGAAAAAGATGGATGACCTAAATTAAGGCTTTTAATGGGTCATTTGTGTAATGGAGGTGTGGTTATAGTAATATCATAGGTTTGAATGAGGCGGTTGTGGAGGAGCCCAGACATCCTTGTGATGTCCCTTTGCTGCAGAGTTGTTTGAGAGTCACTGTGGGAGGTCAGATATACTCAGAGTTCATTTTATACTAAAGTTTTATATGTTATATTGAACCCTTCAGATGTTTTATCATACTGTCTGATCTACAAAACGAGTAAGTTAAATCACACTTCTTCCTCTCGTCCATCTGAGGTTCTAACTGCTGCAGGTTTGTACTTCTTGATGTGCCACAGCTGCATCAGAAACATTCAAAGTAAAGTGGAAGAGAGGAGTTACTGAGTTCCTGCTGTGAGCAAAGATACATCACCAGGGTTTAGTCAAAGGAAAGATTGTAATAAGCACACATACATAAAGCATGCAGTGTTTGAAATAGAGGATGAGACTTCATAAAGTGAGTTTAGTATCATCTGTGTAATATTTGTACAGTTACAGGTTTGAGGGTTCTTTGTTCAGTCATGCAAACTTCAGACATTTCTTCCTCATGTTCGTTTGTTATAAAAACAGTGAAAGTGTTGACTGGTGAACATTTGACATGTGCTTCAAGTTGTCACCAATGCATTGTTAACATACCGTATTTTCCGCACTATAAGGCGCACTTAAAAGCCTTTAATTTTCTCAAAAAACGACAGTGCGCCTTATAATCCGGAGCGCCTTATATATGGATCAATTGGTTAATTGGTTGATCCATACTGGTTGTACACGGCGCTCAGCGACACTGACTCGGATAATGACGAGAGGGAGCCGGGCATGTTGGATGCCGTACTCGCCCAACTGTTCAATTCGGACACTGAAGAAGAAGAATTCGAGGGATTCGTGGATGGGGAATGAACTGAAAAAGTGAGCTTTACGTGTTATACGTAACTGAACAATGTTGAGTTATGCACTAACGTTTGAATTAGCGGTATCAGACTGTGTTTCTTTTACGTGTTTACAACTGAACAAGGCTGGGAGATATTGTGAATATGCACATTAACGTTTAAACAACGTTGAGTTATTGTGAATGCACTACTATTTATATTTATATATTCACAATATCTCCCAGCCTTGTTCAGTTGTAAACACGTTCTATTCTATGCGCCTTATAATCCGGTGCGCCCTATATATGAAAACAGTTCTAAAATGGGCCATTCATTGAAGGTGCGCCTTATAATCCGGTGCACCTTATAGTGCGGAAAATACGGTAGTTATGTTTGAGTAAACTTGATCAGAAAGGCCACTAGGTTAAGTACCTTAACATTATTAAAACATAACTGCATAACAACTCAACATGGTTAAGACCTGGACCCTGGACCTCGACATCTGTTTACTCTTTCATGTCGGGGTTCTGAACATGCTCCATAGTCAGACTTCTGATGATGTTAATCTGGCCCTCTGGATTTACTTACATACACAAAGAGATTTAATAAAGCTTTATCACTATCAGGTAAAACATGAAGATGGATTCAGTCTGTCTTGCTTTAATCAAGGACGTTTTTTTTTTTGGTTCCCACAGGTTCTGAATTTTAATGCACATATCAGTTGATTACAGATTAATATCACAAAACCAAACATGAATTAACATAAATATATTGTTATTTTTTCAATACTGAACTTTTTGCATTTTTGGACAGATGCTCACTGTTTTCAATCAAATCACAATAAGAAATAAATAAACTTTACTTATTTACAATAAGAGCAACAGAGCTGAAGAACATCTGTCATTTAAATGATGAACTTATAATGAACTTTGGTTCCCAAATGTAATAACTCTTCATTAAACAATCAACATTAAAAACTGAATAAATTATGACATCATTGTCAGTTATTACATAAATAGTAGATTTTAAATTATCTGCTGCTGTAAACTTTCTTTTATACACACCTGAAGTTGAAAGTTCTGTCTGATCTTTACAATAACTCATAAAATAATGTGGTGAATACTGAACATTTCCACCATGCAGCTCTGGGAGAATGACTTACCCCTTTAGAATCAAACGACCCCGGCTTGGAGTTGAACTTCACCGTCTTTAGACGCGCCCGCTCTTTCCTCTCCACCCTGTCGAGTAAAGAGCTACGTCAGTCATGAACCAAAGAGAGGGAATAAAATGACTGACACTGACATATTATATAGAAATATTGTTTGACACTGTGAGGACCAGACAAGCAATCACAAACTCTGTCAGTAATAGCCACATGCCATTAAAGTGAAATAATTCTTCAAATAGTTTGTGGAAAGTGCTGGACTTTAAAGAGGGATGATAAGAACTATTATTGTCTGTAGGCTCCGTAGAGTCAGCAAATCAATTCCCTTATTATTATTCGAATCAGGGGCACATAGGGGCTCTCGTATACAGATGGGTTTAGAGGGTTTTTTAGGTTCGGGGTGTAATGTAGGATGAGAATATTAAAATATCTGATCTGCTCTTTTGTGTCCAGTCCACAAGGAAACCTGAAAAACCAGCTTCCCTCTCCACTCTGAGCTGGTGTCTGAGTGAGCACTGCCTGCAGAGAGCAGCTCTCAGCAGTGGGTGGAAGTGCTCACACCTCTTTTCAGATGCATAACAGGCTCAAATTGAAATGAGCTTCTACATCACATGCACCGGTTGTTGATGCTGAAATATCAATGAGTCAATAAACTGTATGAATGTGACCTTGAGACGAGGTTGATAGTGGTGACGAGGGATGTGCAATTCACTGAGCCATCCGCAGACTAAGACTTTACTTAGTGAGTTCCCCCAAGTGTCATCATACCGTGGGAGAAGAATTTTGTATTGAACATTATTTCCCCCATGTATGTGCTTTGTTAATCTTAACATCTGTGTGTAAACTGCCCATTGTTATTGGTCCACTATGAGTGAAGAAGTCAATCTGAAGAATAAGTGTTGCTTTATTTCCATAAACAAAAAAAAAACAGCCAATAATTACTAAAAGGATTTTTTGTCTAAACATTTTCTTGAGTGTCTGGAAATAGATTTATTCTGCAGCATCCGAGTCATGGAAGGGGCCTATCTTTAATAAAGCATTATTTGTTCCCTGCAAGGCCACACGTTGATATAGGGGACACCAGAGGTGTTTTTGTTTCCTGTCTTTCATAAACTTTGTTGAAAGAATCAATAAGTTGTGGTCCATGTTTCAAAGAACATATCCTCACTCATATTTACTATGCTGCATTGACTAAACACAACTCCTCTTATAGGACACAACACATTCCTCACACATTATTAACACTATTCTGAAATTGTAATCAGGGTGATTTTCTACTCTGCTCACCTTCTTTTGCTTGGAATCACACCCATCTCCTCGCTGTCCCCATGTGGGGTGACACGGCGGGCTTGCCACCACTCATCATCTGAGGCGTTGATGACATGGAGTATGTCCCCGTACCTGAAGCTGAGCCCTTGGCTGGGGAGGCCGCTGTCCTTCGACCTCTCGTAGTCAAACAGCGCCCTGTTGAGTGGAAGATATCAGGATGATCGACAACAGATATGAAAGGCATTAAATATCCAGTTCTCTTTCATTCCTCTGGGTGACGGATTTTCTAGCTGGGTGTAAAATAAACTAGAGGCTAAACCTGGTGTGACAGTAACATATATGTTCTCTCTCTATCCAGCCAGTGAGTGACATGAGATACATAAATCGTCTCTGGCATCTCTATGAAAAGAAAACAAACTCTTTTGCTGGATTCAAAATGTTTTGCCTGCAAAATCAGTGCAGACATCACATGGAAATAATAAGGGGCATGGAATAGGCTGTTATTTTTGATTTTGTGGACTCTGTGAAGTTAACTTAACAAGTAAAACTAGGGTAAAATCCCATAAAAAAAGACCAACCTCACATAGAGCGATCTCTTCTGATTGGTTCGCAGGGAACCTGAGCCAGAGCTCATACTGTGGTTCATCATCTGTTCCCGCAGGTCATGGATTTTGGCCTCAAAACGCCCGTACTCTGCAAGACAAGATTAAACTGGATCAAGAACGACAGCCAGGACTTCACTCACGCTCCAGTACATGCTGGGGAAGAGGAGGTCATTCTTATCATGCTCCTGAAACTGAGAATGATGATTATATAAACTTCATCAAATAAAAGATTAAGAAAAGGAGAGCTGGCATTCAAATTGTGTTTAGCATATAATAGTGACAGAGTTAAACTGAGTGTACCTGATGTACACTTTCATAATATATCTGCATGAATGTATACAGTAAATACAATACAAAGCCATGTTTATACCACAACAATATCTTCAACCTGATATATGCTCTACGATGGTGACATGTTATTTGTTACCAAAACTTCACCTATAGTTTTATTTCTCAGCAATATAAGCTTCACAAAGAGATTTCCCTAGACAGTATATTCAAATGGATAAAGCAACAGCCACCTGGAAGTGAAGTCAAAAGACCCCCCCCCCCACCCCTAACTGACTGCAGTAAAAGGTCATAGACCCTGCCTTCTTGTTGTAAACAGATAAGACATTGGTCAAACTATAATTCAAAATGTCAGAAACAGTTTGGTCATGTTAGTTCTTATTTTGCCATTTTGTGTTCAAGTTATCTATTTGGGAGAGGTTTCTTTTGAATTAGCTATTTGATGCGAGAAATCAGCATAACATGCCATGATTGACAGCTCTGTTGACCAATGCGGCACAGGACTAGCAGAGTTCAGCAAATGGTGAGAGAAAACAAAGAACCACTACACAAAAATTAGAAAGCTGTTTGGCTGGAAACATTTTGTGTCAGGTCAGAGTTCAAATTTAAGTTTTTTTTGTCACATATAAAAGAATTGTCACAAATGCATCAATTCAGTTTCCATGGTAACACTTTGAGGGGTTTGACACATCCCATAAATAAAAAAATAAACCATTCCACAAAGTAGTAATTAATTACTGTTTATTACTCCAGTGATAAGAACAGTGGTCTTTTTTAGTCTTTACTGGATAGGACAGCTGAGAGAGACAGCGGTGGGTGACATGCAGCAAAGGGTCATGTTGGGATTCAAACCCAGAGACGCTGTGAGGAGGACTAGAGCCAAAGTATTTGGGGCACGCGACATAACATCTGGCGGTGCTTAAATTGAACCGTTTTACTCAGACCATATTGCATTAGTGTTTTAAGTGTTATATTTAATTCATATAATATTTACTGTCAACATCAAGATTACATGTCTCACAATCATTTTCAGCAGCATTACACACAAACTGTATGCAATGAACAGTTTTTGACTTTCATTTGTTTAGTAGTTTTATTTTATATTAAAGGTCTGGTGAGTAAATTTTGGTTAAAGTGGATTTTGGCGCCCCCTGTGGACTAACTGGCAGATTTAACTTTTTTGCTGATCTTGTCAAATAAATGTGTAAGTCGTGTTTTCTGATGAAGAGTCTTATCCTGATTTGTTTTGACAGCCCTTGTTGTCTCGTTTGCTCTTGGCATCAGTCTTGATTTAGTCTGTTTCATCACCAGCTGAAAACTCCCAAGAGGAGCTTTAAGTAATCAAGCACATCATGTATGAATTATCAGAAATCTTTATTTTTCATTTTGAAGGCTGTAATCACAGACCTCAAAGAACAGAACACCCTCGACATGATTCATTTCTTTTGTTTACAGTGATGCACTGAGTATGACCCAGCAGGATTTTCAGGCAGTGATGTTTGAGGCTGTGGACTGAATCGCCCCCCCTGGCATTTAGGATGAGGATGTCAGGATGTGAAAAGCCGTCTCTCTGTGATGAGTGTGCTCCTCCTGACTGTGCAGGAACTATGACAATGAACAAGATGATAGCTGGAGGCATGGCTGGCTAATCTGTCACCTAAATTAAATCAACATGAAAAGCTCTGTTATGGCACAACCAATAACTGACTACACAACCTGTAGGCTGCAAATCAAGAATAGATGAGAGACGCACTGTAAATACAGCTCAAATACTACCACTGTTGTAACGACATTGTTCCTATATTTCAAGGCACAAAACGGATTTATAGCTACAATTGAAATAAAGCTGCATCACTTGAATCAAACTCTGACACACTTCTATCCATCTCTACCATCCTACCAGCTAGTTCCAATGTAAATGACGAGGCAGAGATTGAACATTTAAGCAAACAATATCTGAACCCAGGAGATCCCCCTTCAATCAGATCATTAATAAACCGCAATCTAACTGTGAAGACAGAATCTTCTGCAGTATAAACTATTATCTTTTCTTTCTGTAATAGTTTCACCTACCTTTCTGCATGTTCACTTTGGTGTTATATCTTCTACTGCTGATACTCTTTTATAACCTGTGTTCTTCCTGGGCTGTCCTCTCTGCTCTCCACACACAGTGTAAATCTGTGACCCTGCTGAGTAAAGCTCTGAGTAGAGAGAGGGAAACACCTCTCTCTCTCTCTCTCTCTCTCCTGTGGCTGCTTGTAAGCGCCACAGGGGCGGAGACGAGTGCAGCAATACACCTCACAGGGTGATTGTTTTCTAACCATGGTTCCTTTGCTATGACATCTCATCTATCTTTTGCATTTTATCCTAAATCTGAAGCCTAAATACATAAATATCAACTATTGTAAAATCCGGAATATTAGCCGCACTGGTGTTACGGTTTAAAGAGCAACCATTTGAACTGGCCACTCTCATCTGAATGTGTCTGTGGTTGTTGTAGTTATACAGAATGCTGCTTTGCTTGTGAGTACATTATAATTAAAACAAACATTTCTTAGGACTTTGCGTCTTCATCATCTGTTGCAACTACAACTACTACAACAGACACATTCACCTGCATTCAGTTAACAGGATAACTCTTTAAACCATATTATATAAAGCATGGACGTTGTCTCAGGTTCGTCACCCTTTGGCTTCTGAGGTAGACTTTTGAAGCCCATCAATGGCGGTTGCCATATTAGAAATGCAGCAGCATGCCCTCCTTATTATGAATAACTTCTATCCTTCAGTAAATGAAAACGGATGAGTTTTAAAAAAACTTCACCAACCATACAGTATGTGAGGAAAAAGAGATGAGATACTCAGACAGAATTTGGTCTTTGAAACAGGCTGTAGATATGTTTATTTCTGCTGTTAAAATAGGCATTTTAACATGGGTGTGTATGTGACATCAGGGGCTTTTGCAGCACCAGCCTCAAGTGGACACTCAATGAAATGCAGGTTTTTGCACTTCACTTTGGCTTCACTTTTCAACACCAGAGGTTGCCACTCTGTCTCAGCATTTTATACTGCTTTATTTGTCGCACACAGCCCACTTTTAATAAGAATAAATAGGTAATAAAAGTGCTTTTTATACACAAAATTTTACCGTATGGATACCCATTGCCTTTAGGATGTTTTTTTTTGTTCAGCCTTTTTTAGCCTGACATTCTCACCTGTAAAAACTCCATACCTGTGTTCAGACTAAACCAAACAAATATTTTGCCTCACACATCTTACTTGAGTTTTACTGCAGGATTATTTTTTTGTTTGCTTTGGTCTAAACTGATGTTATATTGAAGATTAACAAACCATTTGTGCCCTTTAACCCTGAAACATTAACGGTATCTCTCTGTTTTTGGAAATGTATTTAGAAAAGTTTAAAAACTGTTGACTACTGAGCTGAACATCTAAGTCAAGCATTGTAATAACACCAAATAAATACTTCACAAAGCTATAGACTGAGGCTCATAAGGGGAGGTAGTGTGCACACAGTTTGAATGGTCACAAGCACAGAAACAAAAGGTAAAGTCAGGAGGGGTCTCAGGCGTGCATGTGCAGTGGGAAGGAGTGAGAATCAAGCAGTTTGGGAGAGGAGGTTCAGGTGTGTTTCAGAAGGGTTAAAAAGGTAAGCAGATGGTCTGTGATCACATTCACTAAATGACTCTCACTTAGCAGAGCCCTGGTGAATGATGCATAAATCAGACCAGCCAAAAGTGCCAATGGCACAAACCTGGTGCAGGAGAGTGGGCCCGTCTTGGGGAGCATAGAGCAAGTTCTGATGGGTAAGAAGAGAAAGCAGTTGTTAGTCCCAAAAGGGTTCAGGGCCCAGTCTGTCTGGATGAAAGTTGAATCATGTTATTTTGGGGCCTAATAAATCCTCCTTCTCTTCCACTTTCTCCTTCACTTTCTGCAGCGAGAGAAATGGAGCACAACTTATCATGTGCAAGTTTTTACATGATGTTAAGGACAGCATTTCAAAACTCAGTTTTATTATGTGCTTTATCATTACTTTCATATGATGTGTAATATTACATGTGCAATATCCCTTTTCTTTATTACCATGTAGTATTTTTGATGTGGTCAATACCTGGAGCTTGCATAAATGGAGCCTGGGTCTGAACTGTCAATACTGCTGTCTATAATACAGTCTATAATAATTACTGTCATGTTCTGTACTCTTTGCTCACTGTGTTACTTAAAGATTACATATTTTACTCCTTTTCAATAAGTCTCAGAGGTCCCTAAAATATGTCTGTGAAGTTTCTTGTTCTAAATCCACCTTGATCCTGAATTTGATCATGCCTATGAACCCCTCTAATACAGCCCTGCTCAGAACAGGCTGTTTCTGTGTCTGTACCTTTAATTGCTAATGAGCTGCGTTCAACCACACCCATCTGGAAGTGGATGTGACTTTCTCGCTCCATGCCCTATTGTTACTGTTAGGAAGTAGACTCAGAGGCAGAACCATAGACTGTAAATACTGAGTGACGTCAGCCATCTGTTCCTGCAGGGGGTTCTGAAGGCTCATCAGCAGCAGCCGCCATGCAGGAAGTGACGTCTCAGTCTAACTTTCAGTCAACCTAACGACAACCTTGCTAAGCGCCCACCTGTCAATCATGTCAACTACATGCCTAACTATGGATAACACATATTGTTCATTAAATCAAAACAGAACCATTTAAAAATAAAAATCACCCCCCGTCCAGTGTGTGCCCATGATGACAAGAACTAATCAGACGTATTTTGTTTTTTGCACCA